TTTTTTTTTTTAAAAAAAATAAAATAAAAAAGTAGGTGTTGAGATAAAAAAAATATAAACTAAAAACAAATAATTAATTCAACTTTTTTTCTGATATTTATTATTAAAGTATAACATAATATACATAAAAAAAACATTATTTTAAAATATCTGATGATGTGATCCATGAATTTTGACTTGAATCAAAACCCAACCATTTAACAAGCATTTTATTCCCAACTTTTTTTACAATACGTTCAATGAGAAAGGTGTTTGGAAAATCAGTTAATTTAATTTCCTGTTCATAAAAACCACCTAAAATTATATTGTCTGATTCATCCTTTAGTTGATAAGTTACTGGATTTGTTTGTAAAACTTTTGAAACTGTAAATATTTCCGTTGTCCAATTTGGTGTATATCCTTTACTAAATATATGTTTATACTTAGATATTCGTACTTTATCGTTAACTTTAAATTTTAGTTTATACAATGTTTTAGAATTTATATATGTATTAAATTTATTTTTGTTTGTATCCATTCGAGCTTCACTCGGTGTACATTTGATTGTTCTATGTTTTGTATTATTATAGTTATGTATAATTTTTGATATTGTATTGAACCAATTCCAAGTACCTGTTGCAGTGAAGTGTTTATATATATTATTCTTAAGAGTTAAGATCACGCGTTCTGCGATTGAACATTTAATAACACTGTATATAATGCCTAATGATGAATAATGCCTAATTTTATATTTTTTCATTAAATCTTGAAATTGAGTATTATAAAATTCTGTACCATTATCTGTTTGTAAAAATTTTGGTTTAGCTTTTTTCAATATATTAAACATTCCTTTTGTACATTCTTTCGCTGATTTATTTTTCAGCGGCTCCACAAATACATATTTGCTATATGTATCTATAACAACTAATATAAATTTATAACCATAATTTTTTTTAGAATGAGATTGCATATCCATTAAATCAGCTTGCCAGAGGTCGTCAATAAACTGTGTTACCACACTACGTCTAGGAAATATTTTTCTCGCTGGTCGATGTAGCTCATTAGCTATACTCTCTAAGGTTGTCATTATACTATAATATTTCTCTCACGTAGTTCTTCTAAAATAGATATAATTTCGTTATTAACACCAGTATTACCAACACTTTGTGATGATACCAAAAGATTTAATCTAGTTACTAATTCATTCTTGTAACCAATGAAGTCTCTTGAGATTACGCCGCATGCACAATTCACATGGGTAGGCAAATTCGTACGTCGACATGCTGGAAAGGGAAACCACAACCACCCGCCACTCGTCCCGACTTGTCACAATTAAAATTTGGAAACGACAAAGAAACACGCGAGAGACTAACCAAGATATTAAATAAATACGCGGTAGTATTCAGCGAAAAAGTAGGACGTACCAAATTAATTGAACACGAAATTATGCTAAAAGACCCAAGTAGTATATATTTGACGAACGTTTCCCCAGCCCCCCCCAAAAAGATTTTTTGAAATTTTTTTTCATTTATAATTAGTATGGAATATGTATGAATTTGTACGATGAAAATCAGAATTTGTACGGATTTATTTTCTAAAGAAAAAACAAAAAAGTGTGGGAGGGCTGTAGAAATGTTTCTCCAGCCCTCCCAAATACTAAAAATAGGTTTTTTCAAAATTTTCTTTCGCGAATATTTAGTACGGAATTTGTATGCATTCGTACGACCATTCGCGAATTTTCCGGAAAATCTCTTCCAACCGAAAAACGGGTTTTCCACACCGGGCGTTTCCCCAGCCCTCCCAAATACTAAAAATAGGTTTTTTCAAAATTTTCTTTCGCGAATATTTAGTACGCAATTTGTATGCATTCGTACGACCATTCGCGAATTTTCCGGAAAATCCCTTCCAACCGAACAACGGTTTTTCCACACCGGCATTTCCCCAGCCCTCCCAAATACTAAAAACAGGTTTTTTCAAAATTTTCTTTCGCGAATATTTAGTACGGAATTTGTATGCATTCGTACTACCATTCGCGAATTTTCCGGAAAATCCCTTCCAACCGAAAAACGGTTTTTCCACACCGGCGTTTCCCCAGCCCTCCCAAATACTAAAAATAGGTTTTTCAAAATTTTCTTTCGCGAATATTTAGTACGGAATTTGTATGCATTCGTACGACCATTCGAGAATTTTCCGGAAAGTCCCTTCCAACCGAAAAACGGTTTTTCCACACCGGGCGTTTCCCCAGCCCTCCCAAATACTAAAAATAGGTTTTTTCAAAGTTTTAACGATTTTATCGATTTTGAGAATGAAATATCGAAAATCGAGTTCTCTTATTTTATATAAAATATTCATAACAACCCAATCAAAAACATTTAAACATAATTTCAATCTATATATATATAAATTAATTGATGTTCCTTTGTCTCGCTAAAACTCGAGAACGGCCTGACGGATTTGGCCCAAATTGTTTTTAAGTTGTTCGTAATTGCCTGGAGATACTTGGAACGATTGGAAATTGTAGGAAAATCCACCGGAAAACCAGATAATTTCAAAGTAAAAAAATGCAATAGTGGCGCCATCTGTCCAAGAAAAAAATAATAAAATAATAAAAAAATTAGTTTAACATTAAAATAATAATAGTGTTTTGTATATTGGTTGCTATTAGTTAATCGGGCATGTTTGTTGATTTGTATTGTTGTTATTGTTTTATTTTTATTTTTTACTCGAGAACGGCTGGTCCGTTTCGGCTCAAATTTTTCTAAGATGTTTGTAAATGCCAGGAGCAGGGCCGGCGCTACCTTTTGCGAGGCCCTGGGCAAAACTTATTTAACCAATATCCATATCGCATAGAACATAGGTGTAATTTAAGGCAAAAAATCATAAAAAATGTGGGTCCCAAATAAAACAATTTTAAATCATTATGGACTTAAGCCCTCCCAAAATGTTGACCCTAGTTACACCTATGATGTTTATTGAAATAAAAATACATTAGTAAATATTAATTTTCAACTTTTTAATGATTACTTTTAAACACCTTTGTAATACACACTTGTCAACTTACAAACATATAAATAACTTACAAATATACTAAGTCACTAAGGTATACAAATGTACAAAGGTTCTGTAATTTTATGTACTAAATTTAATATAAAATAATACATTTAAACATTAGAAATTTAAGCAATAAAAAAACAAAATCAATATAGAATATTTAAAATTTTTTTCTTGATTTTTTGGACGCAAACAACTCTATGACGTCCTTAAAATTCAATGTATTTGCTGTTTCATTTTCAATTGCAATAGTAGCCAATTCAGTCAATCGTTTTTGAGACATTGTGTTTCTTAGGTAATTTTTGATTATTTTGAGCTTTGAGAAACTCCTTTCTGCTGACGCTGAGGTGATTGGTATGGTTAACAAAATTCGGAGTGAAATTACTATGTTAGGAAAAGCTGTAAAAGCACCAGGCATTGTTTTTAAAAAAAACTGAGTGCTTCTATTGGCGTAGAATATTCTTTCATTGTATGACGAAAAACTAGTAACTCTTCATACAATTCAGAAGCAACTATATCATATAATTCTCCGTCACTTAGATAATTTTGTAAATCTAAGCAACTCTTCATAAGGTCGTCATTAGTTATTTTTTGGAGCTCACCAATATTGTATAGAAAACTGAAATTGTCGCTATAAATTTTAAATTGATTAAATCGTTCACTAAATGATAATATAGCTCCATCGGCAATGACATTAAAATAAAATATTCTGAAATTGTTTTCTGCGTCATCATTTATTTCATCAGAATTCTCGTACTCAAATTGTTTTTTTGTCCTTCTAAAACGCTTCTTTTTAAATTTGTTATGAATATTCACGACATCTGCTATTTCATTAGCTTTAATTTTTGAAGATTCAAAACCACACATTCTAAATGATTTTAAAAATTCTAAAAGACCATTAAAAAGGCTACTACATTTGTTCAAATTAATATTAATGTTTTGTAAAGTTTTGCTTACCGTATTTACTTCAACTAATATTTCATACCATATTATCAGACTAAGAATAAATTCATAACTTTCTAGCTCATTTGTAGCTAATGAATGAGCTTCGCTTTTCGTTTTTGGATCTGAAGTTGTATCAGCCACTTCTTCTAATGCGCTAAGAAGTTCGGGTACTTGGTAACGTATAGCTTTGATACTGTTGACTTTACATTCCCATCTAGTTTCTGAAAGTGGTTTCAGTGTTAATAATGTACAATGTTTTTTTTAAAAATAACCCAGCGTTTTGTAGAAGATGCAAACATACAATATATTCTTTGTATGGTGCCAAAAAACCCAACCGCTATGGTGGAAGTCTTTGCTATATCACCCAACAACAAATTTAAATTATGACACGCACATAGTGAAAAGAATGCTCTAGGATTTTTTGCTAAAATTCTTGATTGAACCCCTTTGTACTGGCCTTTCATATTGGCACCATTGTCATATGCTTGTCCACGACAATCTTTTATATCTATACCTATACTATTTAATTTATCCAATAAAATATTTGTCAAATCATATCCAGTTGTAGAATGAACATTAATAAATTCAATAAAATATTCTTTGATGCAAGGTATTGTAGACATACTTTTATTTCCCATATCTAGAATACGAATAATTATAGAAAGTTGCTCTTCTCTACTAACATCTGGAGTGCAGTCCATCATTATAGAAAAGTATTTTGCTTCTTTGATGCTTTCTACAATCTGTTGACGAATTTTTTGTGCTATAAGTTCAATCAGTTCATCTTGTATTTGGTGACTTAAATAATGATCATGAGTTTCATTATTTTTTATCCGACGAACATGTTCTTGAATAACTGGATCAAATTTGGCCATCATCTCTATGAGGTCTAAAAATGTACCATTATGTTCCGTATAAATTACATCAGAGGATCCCCGAAATGCATCACCATGTTTTGCCAAATAAAAAATTGCTGATAAAATTCGTTTTAGCACATCTTTCCAATATTGTTTTTCTTTATCTATTTACTTTAAATGCAAATCATCGATAGTTTCGTTTTTAATAATTCGTGTTTTTAATTCGTTCCAAGATAGAATTTTTTCTTTATGAGAAGAAGAATTTTCGTGTTGTTCCAATTTTAATGCCATATGTTTCCAATCTGAGGTTCCATTATTAGTTAAACAACCAGGGTTAGGAATTTTTAATTGTGAACTAAAAAGTTTGCAAGAAAAACAATAAACTCGATCACGTGATTTTGAATACAACAACCAATTTCTTGATATTTTTTCACCATTTTTCATTATTCTATAATACATTTTATTACTAAATTTCCTATTTTGATCATTTTTTGGATAACTTTCGTAGAATTCAATTTTTTCAGATTTATTAAGAACAATTTTAACTCGCATATCATGGGTTAAGGACTGATGGCCACTGATCTGGATCACTAAAATTTATTTCTGCTTCTTTGATCTCGTTCATTATTTTTTCATTATTAATTATTGTTAAGTCACTAGATTTTTCAACTATCTCAATACTATTTTGAGTCACAAATTCTTTGGAACAACAGGGTTGCTCTGTATCACCTTCCAATATTAACTCTTCTTCATAACATTCAATTTCATTCTGTTCTTCAGCTACTCTCTCCAGAGTATCTGAAGAAAAAACAAATTTGTCTAACGCTCCACGTTGCTTTTTTAGATTTTTTTCAAGGTTTTGTTTTTTCTGTCGTTTTTGGTGGCCTGAATCAAATTTACGATACTTATCTCGCTGCCGACTACTCATTTTGAATAAAATCACGTTTGCCGTATTTGGGTAGTCTGTAATTTTTTGAATTTTAAAATTTTAAAATGAGAAATGTCAAAGTACCATAAGAATACGAAGTGCTTCCATAAAAGGGGTATGTGTTTAAAGATCAGAGCAATATTTTATGAAATATATCATGTTTTTATACTGATATTAAAAATAAATAAGTAAATAAAAATTATATAGTATATAATATAAAGCCATTGAGGAGAACAATAAACTTGGTGCAATAACGTCGGATTTCTTCAATATAATTCGTATAAATTGAGTTATTATAGTTTATGAATATTAGATTTTTCCGTTTTCTAATATACTAATATATACAAATTAAAAATTATGTTATATAATTATATTGATCAATTCCGATGTTATTACACAATACACCGATCAAGGTATTTTGTGTGTACACGCTCAGAAGGTATTTTAAATTATTAAACTAGTGTTTTACTATAAAATGTATTCATTATTCAACAATTATTACCTGGAGAGTGGAGAAATAAATTTAAATTTACAAACTCTTCTTGTCAGCTTATATTATGGCGGCAATGCATTTACATGTATGAATTTTATTTCGACGGGATACGTCACGGATGAACGTTCATAAGATAATAAACAACGCTCCCGAACTCGACAACTCGTCGGTCGGTACACGGCTGTTAGTAGTGGGCGTGGCTTAAACGCCGCGTGCTTGCGGATCATGAAAACCCCTATAAATATTGTAAAACCGTAACATTATTATTGCTCCGCTTGGAAGAATGAATCTAAAAATACTTTTATATTTCTTACACAACCATATTAAATATTAATAGCCATGATATTATTACTATTAGAACTAGTTGTTTCTAATATTATATTATATATTATTTTTAACGTGCTCAGTGTTATGTTTCATTGTTCATTGAACAAGTACTTTTTGAAACCTAATATATTTAAATCCGTAATTTAATTGAATTAAAAATTATTAAAATGAGAGGACGTAAAGCATCTGTTCATCCTGACAAGATAGTCCAAACGGTGCTTCGATTCAGAGATAGAGTCGTTCAGGAAATTAATGGAGTAAGAAGTAAGTGATTTTTTAAAGTTACCAAATTAATTCCAAAATATTTTTTAAAAACTTTTGAATCGAAGTCTTTATGCATTTTTTCATACCTACCATAAAAAATTATTGTTTCTTTATTAAGATTTATTATTATTGTCTTATAAATAAATATATGCCTACTTCCATGTATCACTTACAACAAATCATATTTAACTGCTAGTACAATTATAACAGGTACCTACTTACAATGTAAATATCTACATATTTTTATATATGCTATTTTTTTAAAAATTAAATTACTTTTATTACCTATTGGCTATTACTATAATAAAACATTGAATTATATAATATATAATATTTATTGTTTTTTCAAGAAATTTCTGTTGCAACAAATGATGTTTGGAGTGACATGAGTAAGCATTTAAATGGGGCAATAAGTAAAGGGGCTTTACATTTGTTTGTCCACAATGGAAGGCATGGTATAAAAGAACTCTTAGGACTTCTTCCAGTTATAGACCAAGTCATAACTTCTGCTGCTATAGAAACTGCAGACGAATTACTACAGGATGATTCTGGTAAAACTTATATTTAAACTTATATTTAAACTTATATTTAATAATTATTATCAATTAACTATATTATATTTCTTTTAATAGAATCAAATAGCAGCGAAGACTCTAACAATCTTCCAAAAAAAGAATTTGTTATCACATTTTCGTCAACTGAGTGGCAACAAATTCAGCCTGAGGAAGTCGTATATAAATTAAACGATAAATCTAGGCCTATGAGCAGTTGTCGCTCTTTTTATGTTTTACCAAAAGGAAAATGGAGTCCAATGATAGCTGAACACTTTTGGGAGCACACACAACTACCTTGTTGTATCTCTTTTAAGAGATCTAAAGTGCTCAATGAAGGATCTATATATGTTTGTGTCATTGGAAGATGTTCTATATGTGGGTCCAACTTTAAAGGGATTATTGGAGAGAAACCCATTGGCAACTCAAGGTATATTTTTTTATTTCATAATTATAAAACTAAATTTACATTTACACTATATTTAAGACTTTGGAATATGAGAATCATTATTAAGTAAACAAACAAAATAAAAACATAACTATAATGTTCCAAACATAAAACTTTTATAATAATACCAAATTAGTAGGTAGGTACCTTTATTATATTATTATGTACTGTTATACCTAATGTTGTCTGTTGACTTTTAAAATTGTAATTTATGATTACCTACACTATATTTGAAAATTTAGGTTCTAATGTATGATGAATGTAGGTAATATAATTTATAATATACTGATACGCAACCAATAACATAATAGTTCATACTCCAATTCCCTATTAGTAACTTTATAATAATAATTACAAAATAGTATATTACTACAAAGGAACAAAATTAATTTATTTTCCAATTTTCCATTAATGCAAAGTTAATAATTTTTTCAGATTAACTAATATAATATTAAATTTAAATCATATTTTATTAATATTCAAATTTATTGAACTTAGTATCGCAGTTTAGTATCTCGATAGTCTGTGTCTACTACATCAATCTTGCCTATAAAATCTATATTAAACTAAATTTAAATATTAATTACCTACCTATTTATACATTTATAGAGTTCTTATGCAATGCACATACATTGGGAATTTCACCGATGAACATAGACAAGTTAAGAAACGCAGAATGGTTGGATCAGATATTGACAAAGCATTAGAATCGGTAGTACATAATGGTATATCGTGTGAAAGTTATAGAGAAATGGAAGCTCGTCGTCTAATGAAAATAGGTTAGTTGAAGTAAACTATTATTTTTATCATTAACTTTACTAGTTATAATGCATAAAGTATATATAATATATATATTGATTATTAGTATCAGAAAAAAACTAATTGTTCTTAACAGTTATTTAGATATGGCTATTGTATATTTTATAATTTGAATTTTATATTACTCCATATTGTTATAATATAATATTATATGCTAGTAAAACAAAAACGGGTCAACATTATACATTTTGTAATTTGTATACAATTCATAAGTATTTATTTTAAATTCTTATAATAAATTGTGAATCATTTTTTAAATTTAAGTTAAATAAGTTATTTTATTGTGGTTCATAGGAAGTAGGTAGGTAAAGAAAATTTAATTTTGTTGTTATTAGATATTTTATAGAACAAGATTTTCAAATTTCTTTTTTAATATTTTTATTAGTTAAGTTGTGATATATACATAAAATTAGGTACCTACTCTAGATTATAATTTACAATTACTAATATTGGGAGATGGAAGTATTTTAAATAATTTTAAATTTATGCTTTAATACTTCTAGTACATTTTATACTTAACGCTCTTAATAAATACAAAATACTGAATGATAAAATTTGTTTTACATATATCTTGCCTTGCAATATACTTACTGTCAAATATTTTTGTACAACTTTTGTATTTCAATTTAATTTAGTTTAATTCATTTTGGATATAAGAAACATGAAAGAAATATATCAGTATAATATAGTGTCTATTATGGTTAACTTATAACGATAATAAGTCAGTAATATACAAAATCATTATATTAAAATATTAAACCCATTTGGAACCTAATTATTTTAGTATTCTAAATTGGTGGTCCATTTAAAACTATTGTATTAGGTTGATAATTGTATATAATACTATAATAGAGCTGCTGCTGATTATCATATATTTATTTTGTAGGAGCCCCAAATCCAGCTATAATTCCAACAGGAAATGCATTGAGGATTTTAAAATCACGTAAACAGGCACAAAACAAAAGGCATACTGACAAACTTACAGCTCTAGCTATTATGAGAACCGAAGAAGACTTCAAAAATATATTGCATGATATGGGAAGTCATCCATTTTTTATTCACTACCACTGCTCTGAACAAATTCATATATATAGAAGTTATTGCCGAAGTGTACAATATCCACGCTTAATAATTGATGCAACTGGATCAGTTGTAAAAAATTTTTCAAAATTTGGCTTTCAAAAAACCCGTTTTCTTTTTCTATATGAAGGTGTGGTTTATGATAATATTAAAAAACACAGCTTCACAGTAACTAACATGATCAGTGAAAGGCATAATAATATATCAATATTTAATTGGTTAGCTAAGTGGATTAATTGTGATATACCAACTCCAAGAGAAACTGTCTGTGATCAATCGCTTGCCCTTCTTTCAGCAATAGTACAATGTTTTACACAATACTCGTCATTGAAAGATTATTTGAGAATTTGTGCTGATATTGTGTTTGAGAAGTTACCATCTAATTCACATTGGTTGCCAAATTGTTTTGTGCGAACAGATGTGGCTCATTTTATCAAATTAGTCAGTAAGTGGACACCATTGAAAACAGCACCAAGAAGAGTGAGAGAAATTATTATTCGTGTCATTGGAATTATTTTAAAAAGCCAATCTCTGGTCTTTATTGAATCAATTATTATGTCATTGTTTATAGTAATTACCAATGAAACAGATGGTACTGATTTAATATCATTTGAAGATACACCATGCGAACAGCATAAAAAAATCTTAATTCAAGCTGTAAGTACTGAATTACATTTAGAAGAAATATTAGCATTAAAAGAGACAGATGATGATCAAAATATAAACATGGATCTTGAGTATGAATCCCAGAGCGAAGAAGTAGAAAACTTTGATAATCCCTTTCAATCATGGTCTGAAGGTTTATTTGAAAAAAGTAAAACATTTATCCGCGAAGGAAATGGTATCAATGCAATGTTTTTACCTGCATTAGTTCCTTTAATATTAAAGTGTACAAAACTTTTGCCACTGTGGTCCGGATTAATGGTTCCTTTTTTCGGTTATGGTGAATTAACTACCAGTTCAGCTGCTGTCGAGTCCAGTTTCAAAAAGTTAAAACATGTTACATTTAAACATACTTCCCTACCAGTGGACATTGAAGAGTTTTTAGAAAATCATATTATGTCACTGCAGGGCGCATCACTTATTCGGTCTGCAGTTAATACCCAAGCTATTGAACCATTACCAATTTTAGTTGAAAATGTAAATATTTCAAAACAAAATGTGGATAATATGTTAGCATATATTAGTAATGATTGTCCACTATGTAATAAAGGTGATTTACCAATGCAAAATGGAGCTCATAAATGTATTATATGTGGTATACCTGTGCATGCTCTTTCTTCTTGCTCCACTCATGAACTTGGACAAGAAGAAAGAAGAATATGCAGAAATTGTTCCCAGACTCAAAACAAAACTTGTTTAGGCGAAGAAGACATTGCTTGTGAAAATTGGAATAGAAAAAGCAAAAAGCAAGCCAATAAATCATATTTGACTCCAAATTCACTTTTACGCCATTTAGGAATAAACAATCCTAGAAATATAAGATTATTACCTATACTAAAAAATGGATCACGGGCAGAAGAATTGAAAAGTTGTACAATTGCTGAGGTTGGAAAAGTAATTCTTAGTAACACGTGTGCTTTTGACACATTAGCTTCAATATTTATGGCAGCATATTGTGACAGTGATAATTATCAACAACAGATTGATGCTATAAAAGAAAATGATGAATTCTTCCAATTTATATCCATCATAGTCACAAAAGGTATAACTGCATCAACATATTCAGATAGAGCAAAATTTATTATAAATATGCTTAATCCAGAATTAAAACAACTAGAGTATAATACAACTCTTGCTATTTGTGATGCAACAGCAGGAACAATTCTAAAAGCTGTTTTGAAACGAAACCCGACAATAAATGAAATTAGTTTATGTTCAAACTCTGAATGTAAAAGATCTCTAAGTCACACTGTCACTTATATTACATATCAAACGACTGATGGTAGTATAAACGACCTGCAGCAGTTCTTAGATAATCGTTTATGTGAAGAAAGTTCAGTATGTGGTTATGGTGAATGTATTGGAATAAAAAGTATAGATCCAATAATTTCAAATATGCATATTATAATAGAAATGTTATATTGGAATAGTGAGTTAACGGTTTTATTATTTTCCTAAAAATATATAAAAATAAAAGAACTTAACCTTTTTTCTTGTTTGTTTGTAGGTGATGAAACCACTTACAGCACAGAAGTAGGACGCTTCGTTGAAACGAAATTGTCTGATTTACCTCCTGTGTTAATACATAATGAATCAACATATGAGCTGAGAGGTGTAGTCAACTATATACGTGGATTAAGCAGGTTGAGGACATCAGTTGGGCATTATACTGCTTATTGTAAACGCAGTGAAAGAAGTTGGGAACTAATGGATGATCAAAATAAAAAAACCATATCAGTAAAAGCCTCAACTAAAGTCATATGTGAATATTTAATATATACAATTTAATAATAAAAGCAGTATAGTTTAGGTTACAATAACTAATAAAATATGTGTTTTAATTCAAATTGATTATATAAGTTATTCAATATTTAACCATGTAAATATCAGAACAAGAAAAGGCATACCTGCATTATAGGTACATTGGTGTTTTCATAAATATACACCTATGTGTATTATTTCTATTATGTACTTTATTATTTTGAGTATAAAGGCATATTTTTAATTTAATAGAATAAATTAATATGAAAGCATATTTTTACATATTTAATTATGATTTTCAAAGAAAATTGGAAGAATATTTTCAATTTTTTAAAATATTAGCATCTTATTTTAGCTATTTTAAGATAATATTATTCAGGCCTCTACTGAGTTATATGTTGTAATTTATCCCAACCATAAAATATAGTTAGGACAATACAATATAAATATTGACCAAATAAATAGGTAAGTACATTAATTCTTAAATAAAAATTGAATTCATATACAATAATTATTAATATCTGATAAGCAATAAGATATATTATGATAATAACACTGAATATTCTGTGATAGTATAATAAATATTAAACATATAATATTATACAGTGTGATCATGATAAGTGGATACACTTAATAACTTAGCATATAGGTACTCAATTATTTGAGTTCTATTTTTTTGGCTGACTAATAAACTAATTACACATATTTTCAAATAATAAAACTAATTTTGTGACGATTAAATTTGCTCATATGCACAACCACTTTTTTTTTTTTTTTTTTTGTGGCATGGCAAATTTTTGACCACAAATTATTTTTCTCTGTATTTTATAATGAATATCGGTAGTTGAATTTCTTTTCTAAGTTAAAAAATTACTGAATACACCAACTACAGTATTTAATGGATAGTTTATTACCTTTTCTAACAAATTATTACAAATTGTTCAAATTGTGCACCATAGTGCTGTAAACAACATTGTATGTGATTTAAAAATTCACGATTAGTAGCAGAAATAATTTGTTGTTCCGTGGTAACTTGATAACTTACTGCAGCTATTTAATTTTTTTAATCAGCCAGACAGGTAGGTGGATCAGCCTACACTACTGTTTTTAAGTGACCCCAGAGGAAATAATCTAAATAAGGTTGTACAATGGTCACTGTGTCCCTACGTTAGTTATGGGTAGGGTTCGGAAGTGGATGACCTCAAAAACCTTAAATAATGGCCTAAAAAAAATGCAAAAATGACAAAAATGTCCTTAAAAAATAAAAGTTAAGTTATCGGCCTAATGGTAAACAAGAAACGATATTAACTAAGAATGAATCGTTTTAAGGGAAAGAGCAATAATAAGCTAAGTACATGTTATTTGACAAATTATACGATTTAATTGTGGGTTTTCAGTTTCTTCACACATCGTGGGGGTTATCATTTGTACTATTTATTTTATCGGTAGCCTTAATATTTAAAAAAAAAAATGGTCTAGCATGAATAAAAATCGTACAAATTGAGCGTACGCCAATGATAGGGTGTATAGCATATATTATAAAATACATGTACTGAAAGTATATAGATATTTATTGCATCCCGGCGATCAGTAGTTATAGAAAACTTTTTAAAAAAAAAATTATTTCCAAATCCTCATAGACAAGAATATTATGGAAAAACTTGCCGGGATGTGGAAACGCCTATTTTTAGTATTTGGGAGGGCTTGGGGAAACGCCCGGTGTGGAAAAACCGTTTTTCGGTTGGAAGGGATTTTCCGGAAAATTCGCGAATGGTCGTACGAATGCATACAAATTCCGTACTAAATATTCGCGAAAGAAAATTTGGAAAAAACCTATTTTTAGTATTTGGGAGGGCTGGGGAAACGCCCGGTGTGGAAAAACCGTTTTTCGGTTGGAAGGGATTTTCCGGAAAATTCGCGAATGGTCGTACGAATGCATACAAATTCCGTACTAAATATTCGCGAAAGAAAATTTTGAAAAAACCTATTTTTAGTATTTGGGAGGGCTGGGGAAACGCCGGTGTGGAAAAACCGTTTTTCGGTTGGAAGGGATTTTCCGGAAAATTCGCGAATGGTCGTACGAATGCATACAAATTCCGTACTAAATATTCGCGAAAGAAAATTTTGAAAAAACCTATTTTTAGTATTTGGGAGGGCTGGAGAAACGTTTCTACAGCCCTCCCACACTTTTTTGTTTTTTCTTTAGAAAATAAATCCGTACAAATTCTGATTTTCATCGTACAAATTCATACATATTCCATACTAATTATAAATGAAAAAAAATTTCAAAAAATCTTTTTGGGGGGGGCTGGGGAAACGTTCGTATATATTTGTGCGTTCTGAGCACCTTTTTTACAGGGAGATTTCATCATTTCAAGCGGGCATTTCTACATGCTCCACCGTGTAACACATAATCTCAAAAACCCTAATGTGCGTTCTGAGCACCTTTTTTACAGGGAGATTTCATCATTTCAAGCTGGGCATTTCTACATGCTTCACCGTGTAACACGTCAATTTGATAAAATATATATTATTTATTAAATATTATTTTATTTACAAATACAATTATATATTAATTCTAAACAATTATTTATACAAGTTTTCTTACTTCTCTAGTAAAAGGTACATATTCTACAATACGATCATGAATTAATAAATAATAAGCAGTTACACCTGTAAGCGAATCCGAAGCTTCAATTTCCAATTGAACATCCACTGCTGAGGCTGTGGCTGAATCGTTCTGTTTCGAAGTATCGATAACTATAATTGGAGCGTTTGTCAGAAAAGTAGAAGGACTCAATATCGGGTTACGAATACTTTTTTCATAGTACGATTCTTGAAACGATGTATACATATTATATAATAAGGTGAAATTATTTTTAGTAAAATCTAAATTCAAATTATCGTATGGATAAGCTATAGAGTTCAGAAATACTTTAAAGTTTGTTAAATTACAATTTATTTTATTTATTTATTTATCAATTTAACGGGTGAGCCCAATTACAATAGTATGTGGAACATAAAATAGTATGTACATAATGGTAGCTGTTGAATATAAATAGTATAAAATATATATATAATGGTTGGTGTGGAGGTATAAAAATATTTTAAGTGAATATATTTCTAAGATATAAATTAAATGAACTCACAGAATAACAAATAAAAAGATCGACATTAAAATTATTTACATGTTGCATACATCTAATTAAAGGGGCGTTCTTACCATATAAAGTGCGCTGGAATGGCATATAAAAGGTGTCTCTCTGTCTAGTCGAATGACCAGGAACTAGAAATGATATATTTGACAAAAGATCAGGACAGTAAATATATCCATTTAATAGTTTAAATATAAAGCTAATATCGTTTTTAATCCTTCTGTTTTGAAAAGTATCAATGTTTAGATATAGTAACAATGGTTCATATGAAGTGTGAGGTAAACGTTTAATATTACACTTGATGGATATAAGTCTCAAGAAACGATTTGGAATCGCCTCAATAGAATAAATTGGACCTAGTGTGTATGGAGACCAAATTATAGAATTATAATCAAAAATTGATCTAACTAAAGCGCAATAAAGTGATTTTAGTGCTAAAGAATTATCAAAATTATTACAACTACGCATTATAAAGGCAAGCATTGATGACGCTCTATTCTGAATATGGACATGGTGATCATTGAATGGAAGAGAGGAGTCAAGATATACACCTAAATCTGATTAAATCTTAGATTAACTCGTTCTAGTTCAATACCATTTAAAAAGTATTTGTTTAATATAGACACACGCTTTCTAGTGAAAGTAATAATTTTACATTTTGAAACATTCAAGTATAATTTATTATTATCACACCAATTACTTATGTTATCAAGATCATATTGAAGCAGATTAGAGTCTAGTGGAGTTTTTATAATACGGAATAGTTTAGCGTCATCGGCAAATAGCAGTATATTTGAGTTGATATTACTAATATCATTAATATAAATATTAAAAAGAAGAGGAGCCAAATGAGATCCCTGAGGAACTCCAGAGGTGACATTGTAAATATAAGAATTATAATTTTTAAATTTAACGTACTGCTTACGACCAGATAAGAAAGAGACTAGCCAAGAATAGAATGGATTGCGGAGACCGGATTGGAATAATTTTTTGATGAGAATATTATGATCTATCTTGTCAAAGGCCTTAGCAAAATCAGTGTATATTACATCGACTTGGCAATTTGATTTAAATGCATTTAAAATAAAATGTTGCAAAACCAAGAGATTAGTAGTAGTGGATTTACTTGACATAAAACCATGTTGCTCGTTTATAATAAAATTTTTAAAGAGCGGACTAATCTTCTTGTATACGATACCCTCGAATATTTTAGGAATAATGGATATAATGGAGACAGGTCTATAGTTAATTATATGGTTAATATCTCCACTTTTATAAACCGGAGAGACATATGATATTTTCCATTGGTCCGGAAAGACTCCAATAGCAAGAGACCGATTGAATATGATCAATATGATAAGGGAGTTGATAAAACAAACTTACATTGCATAAAAAATGTGTTAGAAATATTATCTGGACCAGAACAAGTACTATAATTGATTTCATTGAGCTCATTATAAACATCGCTAATAGCCAGAGTGCATGAATTTAAATCAACAGAAGGAATACTAGTATTGTAATAATCAACAATACTTTCAGTAATTGACGGCATATTTAAGACACTGGAAAAATGTTGAGCAAAGCAATTAGTAATGTCATTACCACCAGAAATATTTTCATTAACATAGAGTTTGGGAGTGAAAGAGTAGAGCGTTTGCTATTAACATATTTCCAAAATAACTTAGGATTAATAACTAGTAATAGAATTTTGAGTTTTTTGGATAAAAATATTATAATCAATTTTATTTTGAGCCTTACAGCATGCACGTAAATTAGAAAATTTGTTGTAATTATATGAATTAGGTGATTGTTTATATGTTTTATGAGCAATTTTTTTATCAAGAATTAATTTCTTTAAAGAACTGCTGAACCAGTGAGGGTGCTTTGTTAAATATACAGTTTTAACCGGGCAATAGGCATTAATAATTTTAAATCACCAAAAATTAAAAATTTCGAATGACAGTTATTATTTAACAAAACATCAATAGCATTAAAGTGTATGTCGTAAACATTAATATCAGAAGCAGGGGGGATATAAACAGCACCTATAACTAAAGATAAAGAATTTTCACTAATTTGTATAAATAATTGCTCAACTGAGTTGTCCAAGAGAGGAAGACGACGGCACGAGAACTGGTTCTTGACTGCAATCAGCACTCCACCACCTCTTGTAGTAACTTCACGAGTACTGCAACGATCACATCGAAAAATAGTATAACGGGGACAAAGTCCAAGTTCCGCATTTTTTACATTGTCAGATAACCAGGTTTCAGTAATTATAATAATATCATAATTGCATAGAGAGACATTACGAGTAAACATATCCAATTTAGTATTAATACCTCGAATGTTCTGATAGTAGATGGAAATTTTATTAACTATTGTTGGGCTCGTTGACCGTTTTTTGAAATGGTCGGTAAATTATTGACAAACTTAATAAATATATCGGTTTCACCAGCAACTTTGCGTGTTTTAAGTTCAGAGGCAACCGAGGAGTATAATTTACGCTGTTGTAATGTTTGGTCAGATGAAACCCGAACAGTTTTAAATTTATCAACATTTAATAGCTGCCGTTTAACTTTTAAAATTTGAAAAACATCAGGCGGTGACGGCATAACAATCCGAATAGGACGAGGCTTACTCGACGGCTTTCCCAAACGATGAACAGACAGAGGTTTGGTAGATATGCCGATAATATTAAACATCTCGTCAATAAGTGAAACGTCGTTGTTATGGACATCACTAGATGTTGAGAGATCTGGCAAGTTAAACAATATAATGTTACGAGATCTAGATTGACGGTCCATAATTTCTGAGAAAAATCCTTCTTGATTGGTAGTTGATTGGAAAATAAGTCAAACTTGGAATCAAAAGAAGACAGCTTTTTATCTTGCGACTTAATAGACTCACGGCATGAATTAAGTGATAATATGATTTTATTCTTCGAGCTTTTTAAATCATTGAACATATCAATAAGTTTATTAAATTTATCATCATTAATATCAGACGGCGAAGAAGCCGGCATAATTAGCGTTGAAAATTAATGATAAGACAAAGGCACCACGATAACGGACACTAAAACGAACAACACAACCGTCCAGTACCACGGACTACGGTCGACTGTCCACAATGGTCAAATATACTACAATCTTTTGTTAGCAAATTTTTACGTCCTTTTTGTAATAAAATTATGATAAATCGTGGTTTTTCTAATTTTGAAGCAGTGTTCAAATTCCATACAACTTTTTTAGTTATTCCGAGTTCAGGATATTCAAAAGTTTCAAAAGATCTAAAAGGGATAAATAGACATTTTTCTTTTTCTATAAGTTTCAAAAATTTTAACCTTTCCTCGTCGTCAACCGTTATATGTGGGACCTTCCAGACTATTTTATTTAAGGTGACTTTACCTTCAGTGGCAGTCGCATCACTTTTAACTTGTAACTCATTTAAATCACTATGACTTCGGGTTAATATTAATTCCAATCTAGAATTCACTAATATTCTTTTATAGTCTTAAAACAATCCTAACCAATATTTCAATGGAATGCAAGCACTAAATTCACCTTCGTCATTTTCCGATTGCGTTGCGTTTTTAAAATTCCATCCAGCATTTTCATAACAATTGTAGTTATCTGGCGTACCGGATAACTAACCTTTCAACGAGCTAGTGATTCCAAGAACACGTGTGCTATCTACTTCTATCCCATTGAATTCCAATCGTATTTGTTCAAAGAGGTAAGAGTAACCGTTATTAGATAGTTTCACTTTGGTAGCATCAGTAATTGTTCCTTCAAAAAAAATAAAGCTTCAGACATCCGTTTGCTGGATTGATATACGTATTTCATCATTATTATTAAATGATGTAGTATACGGTGTGTATGAATGATATTCAATTTTCGTAATTTTAGAATGCGTTTCGTACTGTGAAGTTATATCTAAAATATCACTCTCAGGCATTCCGCTTTAATTGATAACCTAGATCTTGTAAATTTTTTTTATTTTTTACCGTTAATTTTTTTTATCTTATTTGATGTTGCTGGTAGCACTTTAGTCTTATGACTAGTTGTGCTGATCCGAAGTAGTGGGTTTATATTGAATTTCAGTCCCATCTCAAGACCCGTAACGTTTAATATGTAACACGATTGTCAATGCCTCTCCAAAATTATCAATCGGATTATGATCTTGATCAACTAATTGAACGGTTATCGAATCTATATTTGTTTTATTCAATTTGTAATATATTAAATTTGGCGGTGACTGAATTACTTTCGACCCTGTCCTTTCACTCGGGAAAAACTCATAAATCGAATGGCTTTGAAGATGGTTGTTGAATGATCCTTGAGCTATATTGCACATTACTTTTATAGAATTAATTGTGTTTAAATTTACAGCTTTTTCCGATCGAAGAATTTCATAGTATGGCTTATATACTCGTTTTTCAAAACCGAATACAGGTGCTATACTATATGAAGTATTAAATCGAAGTATTCCATTACATTTTATATACGTTCTAAAATCGACAGGATCCATACGTATACTGAATGTTAGATGTGTTCCGTGGTCGTTATTAACTTGAGATAACTCTTTTGCCATATAATTGTTAATATCTTCTATTTCATAGCATTCGTCTTCCAAACATAATTCAAAAATGCGAAAGTCTTCTTTGTTTTTCTTTGGAGTAATTGTTTCTAATTTCAACCGGTTATTAATTGGATTTATAATATTTGGAAATGAATTGAACGTTTGCAAAGATAACAAAGCTATTCCCGAATCCTCGTAAACGTTTAGAGATGGAAAATAATTGGCTGACAATACAGTTGAATTTCCAGTAAAACTTAATGTAATAGATTCATGCATTGTAAAAATTCAAGGCATAAATGACCACAGTTAAATGTAATGAAGTCTTGATAGTTGGAATAGTTGTATACTATTTTGAACTGTCTGAAATAATGTTGTAATTCAATTGGTGGTGGTAAATCACCAAAGCTATCAAAATATACAACTTTGTCCTTATTTTTATAAAACGCTACCCAATGGCTTCCATCGCCTGAAGATATATCCAAGTTTAATATACCACATTCAATAGCGTGCGGTTTTTTAGGTAAGTTATCACGTGAAAAGACTCCACGGAAATGATTGATTTTCAACTTTCCGGCATATTTTATAATATCTTAAGACGAAAGCGGTCTGTCAGGTAGCGTGATCAAAAGTTTTTTTTTCTTAACATATTCTTGTTTGATTTCAAACCGCTACCTTTTTTCTTTTTGAATTTTGAACCGCATTATACACACTAGCACCTCCAGACATCAAACTACCAAGTGCTGACAATCCCGCAAATATAGGTATTAAGAGGACGCGATACCCATAATATTTAGTGGTAAAAACAGGTCTACGAAAAACAAACAAAACGCTATTAACAAATGGTTTTAGAGCAAAAATACCTATTATGAAATTTATAGAAAACAATATTTAGGAGACAACCTCATATGCGTTTTTTGAAATATGAATTATTAAAAAAGTTACAGTTGATTAAAAAATGTAAAAAAATAGGTTTTTGTGCCATTTATAACGAGCTGTATATTTAAAATAGAAGAAAACCCATATGAGGTTGTCTCTGAAATATTGTTCTCTATAAATTTCATAATAGGTATTTTTTCTCTAAAATCATTTTTTAATGCTGTTTTGTTTGTTTTCCGTAAACATGTTTATGTTGTTCGAATTAATTTTCATTGCCGTAATGTGCTGCCACCTGCCTGCCGCTGCGACGTCGGCCGCAATTTCCCCCCACTACTCCAAAAACTGAATTTCCGATACGATGATCGCGCGGCGACGGTCTGCCGATGGTTATCGGACGTTTCCAGGAATAGACTGAACTAATATAGACAATATCATAAGCTAATAACCTCGGTATAAACTATAATGCAATAAGAATTATTTTTATTTTTATTATAATAATCGGCATTGATGATTGACACCATACGATCTACCAACTCTTATTTGTATTATTATTTTAATTTTATTATTATTATTATTATTATTATTATTATGTATTACGGACATAATAATATTTTCAGATGATAGGTACTAGGTACCTACTTCAAAAGTTCAAAGTATGCATTATTTGTAGTAATTCAAGTATATACTACCTAAAAAAAATCTGTGTTTTCCTACAGAATTTAGTTATAAATTATAATGGTATACCAATAGGTATTGCTGGTAAAAAATATATCTTAATATCACAAATGGTCAAATATGCACTTATAAATGAAATATGATCAAATATGTAAAATATGCAGCAATACATTATGATTATAAACTCATATTGCTATGAAACAAATTTCTATAATACTCAACTATGTTTTGAATGATTATTGAATTCCTAGAAGTCCCTAGACTCATTACGAATTGTGATAGCGAAAGTCATAATATGAGACTAATTATAGTAAGTTATATTTTCAATAATTTGTACAAAAATAAACATTCATTTTATTTTTAATTTGCTTATGAAACACATTACACAACCGTCACAACCATTCCTCAATCCTCCTGGGTATGTGATCATTTCTTCGGGGTTTCTGTGTCATCGTATTCAAATTCTTATTGTGAATTTTGTGTTTTAAATAATTATTTTCCATTTTTTTGATAATGGCAAATAAAGAAAATAATCTAAAACGGAAACGGTCATCTAAAAAAAAAATCTCAAATTCTCTGGTACTACGAAGATACAAAAAAATAAAGTAAGTACCTATTAATATAAATTATATTAGAAATTTAAATACTTTATTTGTAACCTAACCTAACCTAACCTAACGTTTAAAGTAAATTAAAATAAAATAATAATATTTTGGGCTGTACGCCTCTACCCATTCAATAATTAAATCAAAATAATTCTATTATCCTTTACAAAAAACAATTCTGTTGGGGTGGATTAACACCCCCGCCACTACAGATGCCAATATATATAACTATATTTACTTATTATAATTAGCAGTAGACACTCTTGTTTTCATAAAAATAATACCTTGGAAATAAATAATTTTGTTTTTAGTACCCCCCAAGAAAATGTGGAAAATGTGCACTGACGGCGACGATCTGTCAGCCTAAGATATTTTATATTGGGTATATTATTTACGTTTTTATATCTTTTATTTTTAAATTAGGACAGGTTGTTGATTGCATACTGCAGGTTAAAATAACATAAAAATATTATGAAAATCTCATTGTCAATAATTCAGTATTAAAATACGTACTTCAAATTACATATTTTAATTAAAGTCAGAACAACTTATGTGAATTCGTGAACCGTACCTAGTAAACTTTCAAGTACATTGACTGTTCATAAACATTTATAAAAAAAATTGAATACTTCAAAATACCTATATAAATTATAGCTTATAAATAAACGAAATATTTTGAAAAATATTTACTTTGTAAAGAGAATACAAATTTAAATAACTTAAAAAAAAGGTCTTAAACTAGATTCCATGGTTCATACTGTAAAAAAAAATCTAAAAAATATATATGCACTGATTTTTTTACAGTTATTTTAAGTTCAGATTTGTACCAATTATTATTATTAAAGCCAAGAATGACGATTTTAGCTATTTCGTTGTAATTTAAAAATGTTATTTGATAGGCACTGATATTTTTTCATTCCAACCGATTTTTTTCACAGATTTCCGCTGATGTGGTAACAACTAAATTTAAACTTAGCCTAACCGTGTTATACTAATATAAATATCTTATCAAAAATTTCCTAGGCTGACAAACCGTCTCCACTCAGACACGGTTTTCGTACAAAATAATA